GCTCTGTCCTGAGTACAAGATGGTATTTCTCATTGGTACGAAGCCCCATGTTCCGTAACCCACACACCACGACCACCTCGCCACCAGTACCATCACCACCATGTTCAACACAGGAGCATTAGCTTTCTCCTTTCTCTTTTCCCCCTAAGCAAGAATAAGCTAGTGCATTCACTACCATTTTCCCATTAGTGGCATTTCTCTTTATTTTTCTGCAAGTTGCATCGCTGTTGCTTTTCTGAGTTGCTTGATGATGAATGCAAAGTTGATGCTTAGCTGCTTGTAAAACTTTTCTTAAAGGAACTGGGTCTAAGAAGCACGTATCCATTACTCTGAGCAACTTAAGGTAGCAAGAAGAGGACAACACTGCTAACATTGGTCATCCCATAACCTGGTGTTTCTTTGTGTGTTTTTGTTTTTGTTTTTGGTGGAACCAGGTAATGTCAATCAAATACTGCCAACTTTTTCACATATTCCCCTGGGCGGGGACCCAGCATAGATACCAGACTGTAGTGAGTCCTGCCTGTTCAGGAGACCACCTGTTATTCAGCATAATACTGGTATTTTTTGATAACTGGCTTCAAAAGTAGATAATCTCTGGAGAAATTTTGTTGTTTTCTCTTACAGAGAGAGAATATGGATTTAAAAAGAGCCCTTCAAAAAAATAGATGAAAACCTACATCTCTAATGTATTTCCTACATGTGCCTTTGGAGCATATTCTGGGTACATAGAAAATCTCCTATATTTTAAAACTGAATAACAACAAATCATGATAGATGAGTGGCATCTAGAAGCTTGCAAAATCTTTTTATTTGGGGGAATATTGAAGGAGAAGCAGATAACTTTTTAATAATTGCACTTTTTAAAATTTTGAAAAGAGAAATTGAGAAAGCAATCAGTATTCTCATTCTTAAATATTTAACAAGCCTACTGTGGATTACTTATTTTTAAAATTATTGCCAGGTTTTCTAGTTCCCTTTTATACATGAAAAGTAACACTTATTTAGTTAAAAAACAAAGTGGAGATTACCAACTTATTGACCAATTTAAAAAACGGGACATGTATAACTAAGTATTCAAAATGCCATTTTTATTACTTGAAAAATAGATTAGACATTTTTTTCTTTTCCCAGAATTGTGTGAGTTTGTTTTTAAGCCTTTAACATAAGCTGAGGAGGTAGACGGTTAATATTGCAGCTTGTGCCCAAACCCAAAGGGGACAGAAAGGCACAGATTTGGCTCGTTGTTAAACTATCCTCCCCAGTGCATTTCAGAACCTTTGCTGAAAAGCTGGCCAAGAGAAGCTGCAGGCTGCGTTATGCTGCAAATCCAGCTTCCCCGGAGCAGCCAGGAGAGAAGAATTATGAATGTCTTTTAAATTAAAAAGATAGGGCAGCTAGGGCAGTTTCTGGACTGAGTGATAAATTGAAATCCATAAATATAACAGTGCTAATTTGAAGTTGCATAATTGTGCCATGAGAATGTGTACATTTAAAAGGATTTTAAAAAGCAATTACCAGCAATGCCTCCCTTGAGAGCAGTGTTATGAAAGGCATTTCCAGTCCACGAGGGTGACATAAGCTCAAACCTCTGCGTACAGATTAATGGTGGGGGTGGGAGGGAAGGGTGATCATGAAATCATTGAAAGAAGTGAAGCCTTGAAGAGTTATTAACCTGAAATGTAACTGAATGCCTAAAAAAAGAAAAGAGCAATTTCTTAAAATAGGAAAAATAATATTTGAAACATTAGACGCTTCCAAACTTTCAGGGTTTAACTGATCTTTTTCTAATCTCTGTGAACTTCTTTCTACCTATTGCCTTAATATCCAGGTGCTTCCTCATTGAGTTCCCCCAAATTATTTACCTAGAGCTCCCTAATGAAAAAAAATTACTTTGCTTTAATTTTTCATAAAGGAAAAAGTGATAAAAATACCAAGGCATTAAGAAGTTCATTGAGGAGCAATGAATGTCAGTCACAGTGTCCTCTCCTGTTGCCTAGGGCTGTGCCTTCAGTGCCAGTGACAGGCTGCAAGGTGTGAACAAGCTTTGTAATGCTGTATAAATCAGACTGAGCTCATTTTATCTAAGAACACAACCATGTTTGTTTGCTTTTTTGTAAAATGGACTACTTCAGTGAAAATCGAATCTATGTAGTTCTAGTAACTCTGTAACCTTGGATGTTGGCTTTCTTTAGACATGGCTTTTCACACCTGTCCCTGTGGACGCCAGTTTGTGCAGACTGTTGTCACACACACTGGCTCAAAGTCAAAAGAGAAATTTAATTACTCATCAAGCTGCCAAATTCTACTAATTGCCCATGTCAGCATATTTCATTGCTTGCTGGATGGTAAATGAGGTACATATTTTTGTTTGGACAATGTATAAATTTTCAAAGCCTCAAGTAGTTTCTCTTGCAAGGAGAGAAGGGGGCTTCCTCTCCATGGGCGCAGCTCACGTTAGCAAAATCGGACTTCAGAGTTTCAGACCTCTCCCTTCCTTGGAATTGCTGATAGATTTCCAGACCAGACGACTTGATATGTATTGACTTATTGGTCTTCCTGTTTAAGTACACCCATCACCCTTCCTTTCTTAGGCCCTATGATAGACACAAAGCCAGCTGGTAGCCTCTCGGGAAGAAGAAATTGACCACTCTAGTTGGGGCATTCCCCGTGTCTGCCCAATGCACATATAAAGTAGGTGGTTACACAGATCTTTAGGCCGTATGCATGAAATGCACCAGTCTTCCACCCAACAACCTGAGGGCTGTTCCTAAGTGGTCCCCTGCTTTACCTAGGCACACAGGTGACCCTGAAATTCATGTTCAGCCTTCCATTTTCTGAATCCCATCTCCAGTGTAATCCAGTGGGGATTCTTCCACATCTAAATGATGCTCTTCTTTGGAATGTGTCATGCCTTCTTGGCAGGGTGGCACCTCTCCTGGAACCACGGTCTGTTACCTCATCGTTCATCCTGCTCCGTCCGCTATTATAAGTGTTCCCGGGTGGAATTCTGCAAGGGCGGTAGTGCTGGACCTTCGAGGGTAGAAGTGGCTGCGTACGCACCTGCATTTTCTCCCTTGCCGAGTTGCAGTTTGTTTTCTGTCTGTGCTGGATGCTGTTCAGGACCTGATCATTACTGTTTCCCCACTCTTCACTCCCCCTTCAAGCTACCAACTGTAACTTCTTTTATTCTTGGCTCCCACTCTCTCAATGACAAGGTGAAGGCCCAGCACGCTGTCACTTACATCTGCCTCACCTGACCTCCCGCACAGTGTGAGAGCTGAAGGGAAACCCCAAATTTTGCCAGATTGCAGTGGACAAATAAAAAGCGACTCTCAAACAGCAACTCACAAATCCATGAAATGTTTTGATCTCCAGACAGACTCCTAGAATTTCTCTTTTCTAATTCCTGTTTGTAGTGATAACATTTTTCTTTTTGTGATTAAAAAAAAAAAAAGAATAGTGTAGTAGCTTGAAACAAATGCAGTTCTGATTGTCGTCACTATTTCTATCTGACAAGTTCCAATTCTTTTACAATTGTTGTATTCAGTTGTGCACTAGTGTCAATAAAAATTGACATTTGTGAAGTGATTTCTGGCTGTTTTCTCCGGGGTTTTCTGGGTCTAATGGTATGGGGGTGATTGGGTCTTTAACACCAGGACTTTATTTCAGTGAGGTCTATTAAAAATGCATGCATTCAGAACTGGAGGGATTTTTAAAATGTGAACTTCTTGAATCTGCCTTTTCCTCACATTTTCTAATCTTGTTGTTCAAGGATCATTGTATTGACTAGTAGTCAGTGGACAGGACGTCTGGTTTTTGTTGTTTTCCAGGTGCAGTAGCTTTTCATCCCTGTGTTGGTGACACAGCTAACTGGTCACCTTGGGACCAGAGTGGGGGCTGGTGGAGGCCTGAACACGGTCATTCATACTGGGATCAAATTCACTGCCCTTCCTTCACCAGCTTCGTTCTAGGCTGTTGTATCTTGTAATTTCAAAATGCATCTGAATGACTCCAGAGGATGAGAATAAATGTTAGAAAAATGGAGATATTCCTGGAAAACTATACTGAAAATTGAAAGTGTTAACGTGTCTTTCCTTGTACTGGTAACAGACAGGACTGCCAGCAACTTCAACTTTGTTCACCTAATATTAGCTCTAGCAAATCTACGTTAGAATTATAAATGTGTTAGGTAAAAACACTTAGGTTAAGTTAAAAGTATATTTTGAAGTATAGATATTTGCAAAATTAAAATGGAAAGAGTGTCCCTTGGTTGGCTCATAATGGGTAACATATATTCTCATATTATTTAATGCAGTGTCTTTTTTCTTGGGCTAATTAATTACCTGTCACTTTGGACTTATAAAGGGGAATTGTGATAATGTAATGACCTCCAGCTTTGCATTTTTAAGTGATCACCTTCGCATGTGGTGTGATGCTAGTGTTTCTGTCCCAAACAGTGAGAGACACGGAATGACATCACCAGGTATAACAAGCTCGCTTCTGTTCTTTGTAGAATGGGGAGTTAGTTGCTTGACCTTTCTGTTAGCTGTGACATGTTGTTACAAGGCGTAATGTATCCAAGTACGCCAGTCATCTAGATGCCTATTAGTGTAGTTCTATTTTCTATTCGTTTCCCCATGTCTCATTGTGATATAGACACTTTGTCTCTCTTGAGTAATTCTTAGAAGCAAAGCCAGTAGTCTGGAGATGAAAATACTACTTTGCGATAGACTATGCTTTTAAGCTGTTTTAATTAAGCAGAGTTCTCTGTATTACCATTAATTACATAACTGAGGCTTCATTGAATTATTCATACTTTGGTATCTTTAGTATTAACGCAGCTGCGACCTAAGGAAAAAAAGTAGAAAATACTGCTTTGCATTAAATTTGCCATAGGATAGTCAAGGTTCTAAAGGTTTGAAAAGGTGAAAGGTGTAAGTAGAAATCAGGTCCCAGAAGGAATTACCTTTTTTTCTTTAAAACTTCTCATCCCCAAACAGGCTCCCTGACTGGTAGCCCTCACCTTTCAGAGCTGTCCGTCAACTCGCAGGGAGGAGCTGCCCCCGCCAGTGTGACCTTGTCTCCCAACCTGAGCCCCGACACCAAGCAGGCCTCCCCCTTGGTCAGCCCGCTGCTGAACGACCAGGCGTGCCCGAGGACTGACGACGAAGAGGAAGGCCGGAGGAAGGTGCCAGGGGGGGACACGCGTGTGTGTGTGTGTGTGTTTCTTTAATCGTAGGAAAATATACATAACATAAAATTTACCATTGTAACCATTTTTAAGTGTACAATTTAATGGCAGTAAGTACAGTCACGTTGCTGTGCAACCGTCACCACTATCCACGTCCAGAACTTGTTCGTTTTCCCAAACAGAAACTCTGTCTCCATTAAACCCTGACTCCCAGTTCTCCCCTCCCCCAGCCCCTGGCACCTGCCCTTCTACTTTCTGTCTCTATGAACCTGGCTACTCTAGGTCCTTCATGTAAGTGCCATCATACAGTATTTGTCTTTTGCAACTTTATTTAGTATAACATCTTCAAGGTTCATCTATGTTGTAGCATGTGTCAGAATTTCTTTCCTTTTTAAGGTTGGGTAATATTCCATTGCATGTGCACACCACATTTTTTATTTATTCATTCGTCCGTGGACAGTTAGGTTGTTCCTGTCTTTGGCTACTGTGAATAATGCTGCTGTGGACATGGATATACGTGTATTGGTTCATGCCTCTGCTTTCAGTTCTTTTGTGTATGTACCCAGAGGTGGAACCGGATGGACTGCAGTGGGAGTGAGCAAGGTGGCAGGTGACAGGGACTTTCTTTTACTTACTGTTAAAGAGAAAGCAAGACCCGATGGCTGGCCTACTCTAAGGTGGTGCTGGCTGCCCACCTAAATGACAGGCTCCAGGGAATCAAGGCACAGTGGTGTCACCAGATGATGTGGCCCTCATCCCTTAGATCCAGCCACCCTTTTATTCCACAAACAACGTAACTTCCATTTCACGAATTCCAGCACTGCCTACCCATGGCACCAGGACAAAGGATGCTGTAGTTTCTCTTTTCATATATTTCCTTGAGGACTGTATCACTGCAATTTAACTAACTCGAGTCCTTTTGATGGTGGTACTATTTACATAGAAGGAAACATTCCTAGACTGTATTCTCATCATGAAAACTTACTCTCTTATCCTAGTTCTAACAGAAAGGAAAATAAGAGTTCCTTTAGCCTCGATGTCAGCTAATAAATGATCATAAGTTAGTAATATATCACTTTAATTAGGACTTTCTTACAATAAGGACTTTCTTAGAGACTTATACTCAAAAACGATGATTGTGTCTTGTTTCTTTTGATGGATTTTGCAGAGATTCCCAACAGACAAAGCATACTTCATTGCTAAAGAAGTATCCACCACCGAGCGGACGTATCTGAAGGACCTTGAAGTCATCACTTCAGTATGTGCAGTATTTCCCCTAAAGCAGTAAATTAAGCGATTTATCTCAGCTTAATACTCAGCTTTACAAGAGAAGCTAGATCTTATTAAATGTTGGGTCCTCTGACTTCAGTTGAAAGGATTTGGGTCTTGGGTTACAGAAATTAAATGCTAATACTGTATTTAATTTGGGATATACTCTGTAAAAATTTTTATAATTGTGATTTTTTAAATGCAAAGGAAGGAAGTTGCTAAAGTGGAGAAAATTAAAATCCAACGGTTTACTTTCTGCGTGCACTGATCCAGAACATTTCACATTTTGCCCATGGTCAGATGTAGCTACTTAGTTTTACTCAAGGGAGGCCTCAGAGATGAACAGGAGCCTCATTTTATCTTTGATAATAAATTGAACCATCTCAGTAAGATGTGCCAGAAGACCGCCTTTTATTATTTTAGTCCCGTTCAGTCTCGGAAACAAATGCAGGGAGGGCATCACAGATGGCTTTCAGACCCCTGGATTCTGGGACAGACTAGCCCCCGGGGAGATGAACTGGAATCACCGACTTTCTGTTCCTCCTGGGATGTGCATTATGTTTGGCCCTCGGCAGGTGCGCAGTAAACATTGTGGAACCCAGTCCCAACTCACCTCAACGACGTGAGGGACTGTAAAGGTGGCTGCTTTATCCCTGGTTTGGTCACCTTCATGCCCAGCATTTTAACATAGGAACAGAGGTGGCAGTTCCTAAAGCAGAGAGTATTCAGTGCTCACAAGGCAGCGATTATCCTGTGAGTTGGCCAGAATGGAGGCTTTGATTCGAGGAGTTGCCCATTTAAGAGATCTGTCCCAGCATAAACAATCCAGTGGGTAAAAAATTTCAGAAAACAGTAACATGGAGGGGGGTGCTTCTCACCCCACCTTTTCCTAAAGGGAAAGCAGTAGGGCCTGGACACCACATATGTTCCTGAAATCCTGAAAAGCTAGCAGGAAAGCCCTTTGTCCTCCAGTCGCTGGGCTGCAGCGGACACCCATCGCTGTCTTCCCCCTGAGCATGTCCTCTTTTTATCCCAGTGGTTTCAGAGCTCGGTGAGCAAAGAGGACTCCATGCCTGAAGCATTGAAAACTCTCATATTCCCGAATTTTGAACCTTTGCACAAGTTTCATACCAACTTTCTCAAGGAAATTGAGCAACGACTTGCCCTGTGGTGAGTACAATTATTTTTAAAACTTACATTATGTTTCTTCCCCTCCCTTTTCTTCTCTCCTTCTCTCCCTCTCATGTTATTTTTATGTCATCCCTTATAAGCATCAAGCAGGAGCAAAGATAAAAGGCAAGAAAATGGCAGGAAATAATTTTTAAAAAATGATTTTCAGTTAAATTCTACATGGGTTTATCTCATCTTTGGTGTTTTTAATTTGTCTTACAATTTTTCAAAATGCATTTTTTTCTTATGGTAATTATGTTATTATCACAGAGTGCAGATAGTGCTGTAGAGTTAGCTCTGTGTCCACAGGGGATGGGTTTCAGGGCCTCCCGTAGATACCAAAATCCTCGGATGCTGAAGTCCCTGATATAAAATGACGTAGTATTTGCACACATCCTCTTGTGTACTTTAAGTCGTCTCTAAATTACTTATAATACCTAATGCAATGTAAACACCATGTTAATAATTGCTATACTGTATTGTTTAGTGAATAGTAATGAGAAAAAAGTTTGTACACGTTCAGTACAGATGCAATTTTTTTTTTTTTCAATTTGCTATTGGTTGAATTCACAGATGTGGAACCCACAGATATGGAGGGTCAGTGGTAGTTGCTTTCGGAGGGATGATGGAGGTTATAACGAGTAAAGACATAGGCTTCATAGTCACTTGTGAGGTGCATATATGCCTCATGCCGTTTTCTGTATGGTATTTCACAGTGTCTAGAAATTTGAAAAATACGAAGCCCTGTGCAACACGCACACACTCTTTTACATTGATTTATCATAAGGACATATTTTAATATGTGAAATGACATATGAACAAAGACATTCAATGCAGAATTAAAAGATTGGAAACTACCTAAATGTCCATCAATAGCAGATTGGTTAAAAACAATATTAAGCCTGTCCATTAAATACCAAGTAAAATATTAATCTGGGAGGAGAAGAGGGAGGTACAAAAACCTGGAAAAACTTTGTATGCTGTAGAATGCAAAATCTGATGTACGCTTACCTAAAATAGAACCGTTTAAAGAAAATTCTCATGGGGTTTTTAAAAGACACTTATATGCAGACAGACACATGGGGAGTTGATTGTCTACTGAACATGTACTTGAAAAGTACCAGGAAAAAATAGCAAAAGGCTCTACTGTGTTTTGACAGAACTGGACTTTTGTTTAAATTGGTCTCTGGGGCACTTAGTGGCTGCAGAGCCTGAAGGAGCTCTCTGTGAGGGGTCCTGCCTCTGGTGACTCAAGTCTGAGCTGAGTGGATAAGCCAAGATGCCCCCTGCCTTGTGAAGCTGCTGTCCTGGGGCCAACGTGAGCACTCTCATCCCTCTAAGTGGTGTCCAGCTTTGTACATATCTCATACCTGCAGGATGATTCACGTGCAGTTTTCCTTGCCGTCAGAGAAGGAGGCGGCAAGCTTTACTAAGAGGCTTCTGAAGGTAGAGTACAGCCAGAATCGAGGAATAATAGGTACAAAGTCAGCCTCACTGAAAATGGGAAGAATTGAAAATGTTTCTTTAGCAAGAGTCTCAGTATCGTGACTGTAAAAGAAATACCACTTTTCAAAATTAAAAATGAAAATTCTACAAAATCTAACTTTCACTTCCCAAACTTTACCTGGAACCTTTCGATTATGTTCTGCCATGTTGCTTTACCATATGAAGTTGAATGATGCTCTCATAAGGGGGTCCTCAGATCATTGGATAAACCATTTTTTTCCTGGCCAATCAGACGTGTTAATACAGATGTAAGCAAATCTTCCTGTAGGCTCAGAGCATCTTGAGCTGGTATCACTACACCAGTTCCAGTCCACATGGCAGTTGATTTGAATAATGCTGGAGAGGTCACATGTAGGAAATGCCATCACTTTTGCAGTACCCTGGCAGCCCATCATGATGGCTTCGACTGACTCCCGCATTGGAGGATGCCACCAGAGGAAACATTGAAGAGCTGTCTGACACGTTTCATTTTGGGAGTAAATGCCATACTCATGAATTTATCTGTGACAATAAATCTTTAGCATCTGGCCCTTATCTGTGAAAAATATCCAATTGCTTAAAAAGCAGCTGATGTCATTTGATTCCTAGATTTATTGGAAGAGTTATTGTCCAGAGATCCGTAATTTTATCCTATGTTTTACGTAAAGATACCAGAAGCATGTAAAAGCCTCAAAGATACAGAGACAGCAGATAGTCAATACGCAGCTCAACTGACATGACCTGCAGTAGCCTTGCAACAGTGGATCCAAACCCAGTAGATCATGCTTATCAGGAATAAATGAGAAGGTCTGCAGTAAGTGCAACTAATCCATTACTCAAGTATGTGACGAGGAAGACCTGGCTTGGCAGGGATTCAGGGTGAAAAGGGTGAATGTGAGTGAGTTTAGTGTCAGCCAGCAGTCTAACACAGAGAAACCAATGTCCTTCCATGTCTGTAACTCGCAACACTGACTGTTCAATAAAATCACCTGCAACCTTTTAAAAATCTTGATAATTAGGCAAAACCCCAGACTAGTTATATCAGAGTCTCTGAGGGGTAGAAACTAAGCACTGGCATTTTCTGTAGCTTCCCAGGTGATTACACTGTGTAGCCAAGGTCCAGAACTTTAAGGCTAGACTGCCTCATTAGAAAGAGCCCAGGGCATGGGAAAGGATTGCCCCTTCAAACTTCCAGGCTTAGAGCTCATGCAGGATACTAGACCAATTCAGAGTTTCATGTTTGAAATGGGATAATGAGGATGCATTGCATTAAAACACACACACAGGATGACTGAAGGAACTGAGGGCATTTGGCCTAGATGAGTGAAGGCTTTAGAAAACATGAGGACTCTCTCCAAGTATCTGCAGACTGGCCCTGTGAGAAAGTGGGTACGCATCATCTTAAGTGTACCAGAGGACAAAATTGAAACTGAGGAGTGAATTTCCATAGCAGCACATTGTGTCTGAAAACAGAAAAGGTTCCCTGAGACTAAGTCCAGTTTAGTAGTGAGAGGCTACCTCAACAGAGGTTGGCCATTGCCAGAAGGGTAACTGGGAGGCAGGAAGGTATTTACCTATCAAGTGACCCCCGAAACCTGGTAGTGCATCAGGGTAACTGGGAGGCAGGAAGTGGGATGAGGGGGAAGGTTGAAAAATGCAGATTTCCAGGCCCCATCCAGCTCTCCTAAGTCAAAACTTTGAGGGTGATATCCAGAAATTTGTGTTTTTAAATTACTTGTTGGGGCGACTATGATGAATACCTTTTTGGGAACAACTGACCCTGCAGTGTCTCTGACAAACCTAAGATACTATGATTCTTTGGTTTGCATTTCACAGACTGGTTATAACTCTTATTTCTTTACAAACAATGAAAGAAGGAACATATGAATGAATAAATGAATGAATGAATAAGAGGTGAGAGTGCATGTCAGGCTTTGCCCATGAGGGACTGGCACCATCAAAGGAATGCTGGGTTCTCCTATAGATGTGGGTGCCATGTCCAGGCCGGGCACAGAGCTTGGTTGCCAATTCTGCCTTGGGGAATGCATGGGCCATTATTGCCCACACAGGACAGGCATCCCTTGGGCTGAATAAGTTCACTGAGAAGACTGGATCACAGGGAGGTTTTTTAAAAAAGGAGTTCACACTGATTACTGACAAGCCATACGTGCATGTGTGTGTATTACATGTATGTACACAGTTTTTCCGTGTTGCTATGATGCAGGGAACACAGGCTGCTTGTGTCAATCGGGAAGGGGAAAATCCGACTTTGCGATGACATCACCAGTTAAGGTCCATGTTCAGCTGTCTGTGGACCTCGCTTCATCCATAGAAGGATTGGAATCTCTACACACAGGGCTGTTACACAAACTAAAGGAGACCATGTCTGAAAAGGGCTTAGCACACTGCCCTGCGCATAGAATGGGAAAGCTGATTATTTTTTAAAACCTTTTTATTTTGAAATAATTTTAGGTTTAGATAAAAGTTACCAAGACAGTAGAGTTTCTGTACACGCCTCACCCACCGCTTCCCCTGACATTAACAGCTTATGTCACCGCGGCATGTGCATCAAAACTGACGAACCAACACTGGTGCGTCACCATTAACTAAACTCCAGATTTTGTTCTGTGATAATATTTTAAGTTATTATTGTTAATGGAAATAAATCTAAAGTTTATTATGCACAAAAATTCCCTAAAATTTGGTACATAAATGATAGTCGCTGTGATTTTCCCTTTACAATTCTACATGAGTTTGTAGCATACTTTCATCAACGGTGGGAAATTACAGCACAGGAAAAGGATCAGGAATTTTCCAGAATGATTTAGGTAAACACACCTGCTCTTATTCCAAATGTCACCCTCTCCTAAGTAAACACACCTGAGAAGAGATGGATGCCCAAGGCCTGTTTCATGCTGGCTAAGCCCAATTTATCCTGTTTCTTCAAAAACAAGCAAACTGGTTTGGTGAGTTCTAAAAAAAAAAAAAGAGAGAGAGAGAAGAATGCTTTTCATTTTGAAAAGGTTTACTCAGCTGTTCAAATGCATTCAGAGAAAGCCACATATCACCTCTGGCATTCAATCAGGACTCCCAAATCGCAGCCCTGAAATGACCAGGAGATGTGGAGGGCAAGCTGGCCAGTTGATTCCCCAGAGGTGGGCTGAAGGCCTGCTTTGGACCAGAGTGCCTGGGTGGATTCTGCAGTGTACAAAACTTAGCTAATGAGCCTATAAGGAGCTGGGAAACAGTGAACAGTCACAGAGAGGCATTTGGAATAGGGCACCCACAGTTTTCAATAGGAGGATCAGCTGAATGTTTTAGAAGAAACGTTGGCCAGGAAGCCTTGGAAAGCGATGCAGAAGTCCAGCTAGGAGGACCAGAAAGGCCAGATGTCCAAATATTACTGAGCGGTTGGGGCTCAATGGGATGCAAGGGAAGGAAAGGGGAGGTCACCTGGGAGTTTTGGATGTGGTTAACTGAGGCCATGAAATGAGAGAGAAATGAGAAAAAGGGAG